CAAAGCAACGGTGGTCGAACGCTTCAACAGAACGCTCAAAGAACGCTTATGGCGCTATTTTACACACAAAAATACACGTCGTTACATAGATGTTTTGCAAGGCATCGTTCATGCTTACAACCACACTCGACATTCCACCATTAAAATGGAACCGGCAAGCGTCACGTTGGAAAACGCACGCATCGCTCGTGAACATATGCAACAGCGTTACCTTCATCTCGATAAACTCGATCGAAGAAATCATAGTCGAGAAGCTGAATACAAAGTGGGTACACTAGTGCGTGTCAGTAGAGCAAAAAGAGTCTTTGAGAAAGGATATGAGGCGAACTGGACGGAAGAAATATTTCATATTCACCGCATTCTCGAATGGCGAAATCCCCGTGTGTACGAATTGAGCGATCTGTCAGGTGAAGTGATCGATGGGATATTTTACGAGCAAGAACTAGTCGGGGTAAACAAAAACTTACAAGAAGAAGAATTTATCGTGGATAAAGTGATACGACGCCGAGGACGAGGAGCTAATAAAGAATTTTTCGTCAACTGACGGGGTTACCCTTCTAAATTCAATTCCTGGGTAGCTGCTTCGAATATAAAGCTATTTCCAAACCATGATGGGGGAAAACCAATTTCTCATGATACTACCGAGCAATAGTAGCATGCGACAGTATTCAGAAAATACAACTGCTTCACTTATTACGGAATTGTCTTACGAAGTGAAGCTGACTGGCTTATAGAAAGTTGCGCTTGCCGAAATTCAATTCCCCTTTAGTTTTTTACACGTGCGTCCCGAGGAAAATACAGAACTCGTATTCATTTCATTGCCGCGTGAAAATATTAATATCAAAAACGCCAAATCAGTCATCATAAAAGGTGACGACCATCTACCCAAATTCGGGGTTACTCGCATAACCTCCGGTGTTTACACCACGGTGAGCGAACTGTTACAGGCTTTAAACAACGCTAGCTCATTACTCAAAACACACATTGCCTGGCGCCAGGATCCTCATCACGGTGGTAAAGTAACGGTGTACTGCACATGTGATATTAAAGAATGCAATAGTCTTCATTTCGTGAAGTTCTCCGATAAAGTGGCTCGTATGCTCGGCTTCGATATGTATAGACCGAACGAGGAATTCATTCATCTCAACTTGTCGAAAATTATGCAGGGACGTACAGCATACCATCCCAATACTGATCGTAATGTGAGTCCGCAGAAAGTTGGAGAAGGAAGGTTTTACTCTTTCATCACGTCGAAACGTGAACTTATGTCCGACGAATTAGTTAGTGCAGTGCGAGGTGTACCCGATAAACTCTTTGTTTATTGCGATATTTGTGAGTCTTATATAACGAGAGACGTGTGTATAGGTTTAAGTTGTATTCGGTGCTGTAGTCAGTCTCGAATCACCAAATCTAGTCGCTAGATGTCGCCGTCGTCGCTTGAAAAAACGTGCGTGCGGAGAGTTTCCTGCTAGGACACACACGAGGAAGACGCCTTTTCTAAACAGCAGTGTAACTTGAGTTGTTCAATAAATGTGATAGTACATCAATGTTTGCAAAGTAAATATGCCTACGGGCATGTTGCCCTACGGGCAACATGGTGAAGCATTTTTCACCTCCGAATTATATACCATTGCGGTTAACATGTTTTCATACGATCGAAATAGATATAAGAGATCAGGTTGGCGAAAGAATACCATTTGAATTTGGGACGTTGACAGTTACATTACAATTTAGACGTCGTGATTAGTACGATATGACACATTATTTAGAGTATTATGAAGCATAATCCGGGGGAAGTCGTGGCGGTGGCATTCCACGAGTTTTTGTAGGATCGCAGTATCAGCGTGATCATGGTATTGGCAGTTTTCTCGGTGGTCTGTTCAGGCGTGTATTACTTTATCTGACCAGTGGTGCGCGTGTCGTTGGAAAAATAGCTCTACGCGCAGGGATTAATATACTCGATGACGTGGAGAATAACGCCGTTGAAAGCAGCTGTTAAAACACATCTCAAGGAATCAGGCTCAAATCTCAAAAGAAGAGCGGAAGAATACATTAACAAACTGATGGAGGGGTCTGGATATAAAACTCCTGCGAACATCGGGAAAGCTCAGTTTCCTTTCGTCACGCTAAGCGGAAATAGCGGCAAATCATCTGCACCCAAACGTCGAGTCAACGCTTCTAAATCAAGTAAGAGGAAAGTAACTCAAAGAAACGTACAGGGGAAAAAACGGGATAAGAAGCTAGTAAAGAAGCGAAGAAACGTTCAGTGAAGAAAAGCGGGAGAGGACTTGCTAAACGTCGGGGAGTTATCAAGAAGTGTACCGTGTCAGACATATTTTCATAAACAACAACAAACGCTTTCGAAGCATGTCCTTTCTTCATATGCATTCCTGCGAATGTTTAAAGAGTGTTAAACTCGATCTCTTCACCCTGCCGCCTACACAAACCAGCATTGAGAGTTCACAATGGATTCACTACAAACCCGTGTGTTCTTTCACGGACGACGCGCCCATCGAATTCGTCGTACCCGGGCATGTAGAAGAATACATAGATCTTGCTCACACCATGCTGTCGCTACGCATACGAGTAAAAACAGAAACTGTAGCAGGAGCCGCTGCCGCAAAAGTAGGCCCAGTAAACCATATACTGCATTCGATGTTCAATCAAATCGACGTATATTTCAACCAAAAGCTCGTGTCTCTTCCAAACAATGCTTACGCTTGCACCGCGCTTACATAGAGGTATTATTAAATTATACTTCACCAGTAAAAACCTCCCACCTAGTTTCGTGCCTGTGGTACAACGATATGGCGGGGAACATAGATGCTCAACCTGGAGCGACACCATGCAATCACGGACTCGACAAGCGAGCCGCTTTTGTACAAGGAGGGCGAGCGCTGGATCTCATAGGTCATCTTCACTGCGATGTTTTCAATCAATATAAATTGTTGATCAATGGTGTCAAAGTACATGTTACGTCCTAGAGGAGGAACGCAACCTTTTCGTTCGCGAGTAAGGCGAACCTCGTTCGTACACGCGTGTCAGTGAACGGGTCAGGGATCCGACGGGTCCCTTTACTCGGGCACCGACGTACGACGAGCGGTCCGCTTTTTCGGTCAGGGACGCGAATCCCTTTACAGGGGATAGGACCATGAGTTAACTATTGGAAGGGTGTATGTGATTTTGAAACCAATTGGAAAAAGAATGAAATATAAACAGATTTATTAAAATGAGTATAATAACAAAATGAATTACGGCGCGGTTTAATACAATTGATGAATGACTGTGTATGTGTATGTGTATATGTATGAGAAGTGAAAGAAGGAGGAAATAATAAAAAAAAAGGAAGGAATATGAGTAAAGAGTTAGTCGGGTGAGGGGGAGCGTGAGTGGTCGGGTAAATTTAAGGGAGTGGATAGTTCGGAGAAGGAAACTGGTGAATAAGATATCGAAGGGGTTGAAGGCGGGGACGCGTGTGTAGGAGAAGAAGGCGGAGTACCAGGGGAAAAACGAGGAAGAAGATAAGGGGGTAGGAGTGTAGGATCCGGGTGATAATCAGTTCCTAACGCTATATTAACTATCGGCTCGAAGGTAGTGGATCTGAGACGTAAGTTGGTCTGGATCGCTAATATCAAAAACTGCCTCGAACGTTCGGAAAACGTGGTGGAGGGTTATTCCTATGTTGTAATAATGACCCACTAAAAACGGATTTCAATAATATGGGGAATTAATAAGATGGTGGTAGAAAAGGTAGAAGCAAAGAAAATGTAACTTACTGGTGATTCCTGGGATGCGAGAAATGAACAAGATATAACGGTTGATAGGCGGCTCCTGCTCTGTAGGTTGGGATGAGTTGTGCGACTCCCTTCCAATTGTCCAATTATGGCACAATAGCACTGATTCTAAATTTTTATTTTTGTCCCCAAAAAAAAATAAGACAGAGGACGTAAGAGTATGTGTAGTGCCGAAACAAAACCGAAGACGAATTTGAGTCTAAGGACGCGTTTTTACAGGTCTGACTTTTGAATCTAGAATCTAAGTGAATGTGAATCTGCTCTTTTTCCTGTCTCTCAGAATAGAAGTAGTGTCGCGGAGGCGGATTACCGCGGTTTTTATAGTGATAATCGGAGGCAGAAGCTATCAGGATGGGTAGAGAGATGGCCTTTGAGGAAGGGGTGAATTGGTCTTAGTGGGAAAAAGTCTCAGCCATTAGCGAAGTTAAAAGACATCGTGGGAGGAGACAGTTAGTTTTTGGAGATATGAATATGGAAGGGCTAAAGGGTGGAGCGTGGGTGTCTCATAGTTTTAGGTGGATATGATATGATTGGCTGAATGAATTAGGTGCGACAAGCGTGGAGGTGGTGGATTCTTGAGATAGAGAAATGTATACAAGTGGCCGGCTGGAAAAATCAAAATGCCGTAAATCAAAGGCTGAGATCAGATTTTACGACTATCAGTGAAGTAAGCTTTGTTGGTTGGACTGATAGGGCACATGTGGTTTTGGATTGGGAAGATGTAAGTTTCAAGTTTTAGAGCAGGAATGCTCTGTGTTGTTTTGTTTTACTGAAGGTTTGTTAGCGTAGAGTTTCAAATTTTTATAGCTAGGACGACGGACACACTTGGCGAACACTACCCAGATATAAACTTTAAACGAAGACGTAGATTTTTACAACAGGGCACTGTTTCCTGTTATGGAATTTTCCCGAATCGCCTTTCATTTGGCGCGACGGCTGTTCGCCAGATGGGTCTGTTTCCTAATTTATATTTATATATGTATATATTCCTATTATAGTTATATTAGGAGAATATAAATCCGCGAGAGGAAAGAATTTTTACTAATTAAATCTACAGGACGTAACATACGCATGAGGCTTGTTCGTTTAAAAGATTCCTTCTGTCTTATGGAGGGAAATATTATGTCACGGATATGCGTTTTAGATGCTACACTATTCATCAGAAGAGCTAGAATAAATCCAGGCATATTATTCGCTCATATGAAAATGTTGACCAGGACTACTGCTAAATACCCGCTCACGAGAGTCGAAGTTAAATCATTCACGACTCATAGTGGCATCGTAGGAGAAACACTGGACAATGTCATTCTTGGACAAATACCGAAGCGTATAATTGTCGGTTTTGTCGATAACAAAGCATTTAACGGTGCCCGACATTTAAATCCGTTCAATTTCCACCATTATGGAATAAATTTCTTTTCACTGTATGTCGATGGAACTCAAATCCCTAGCAGGCCGTTACAGCCAAAATTCTCTGGTAACGAGATGCTCTACGCCGAGGCGTATCACACCCTTTTCTCGGGAACGGGTATTCACTTTTTGAACGAAACTAATTTTATATCCAGAGAAGATTATCCTGCTGTTTATACTCTTTTCGCCTTCGATCTCACTCTTGATCTATCGGCTAATTGCGTGGCTCAATGGAACCTTGTGAAACATTGTAGTTTGCGAATGGAAGTATTCGAAGTACGATTCGAAAAAGCTCTCATAACAACTATCAACTGCTTAGTTTACGCTGAATTTGAAAGCGTGCTGGAAATAGATTCTTCTCGTCAAGTCATTGTAGATTATAACGGTTAAAACGAGTCCCCCATTTTTCTTTTCGACGTCATTCCCCTTCCAATATAAAGATTTTCAACATCATAACCCTCCTGAGTAAAAGTTTTGAGAAAAGAGTCCAGTCGATTTCGAGGCGTGAAAAGTATAGTTTCGGGGGGAAGCAGAATTGCGTATACAGAGGGAACATGGATGTCATTATCGAAGTACAATGTTTCCGCGATAGCAACGATGTCTACGTGCTCAAGGAGTGGCTATTGTCGATATTAATGAGGCATTCGTCGGTCATTGGATCTTAGCTCCAGAGTATTCATTTGCGGAATTGAATGAAAAGTCAAGGCGTATAAATAACTGGCTTTCACAGAATTATCATGGTATCGAGTGGTACGACGGGGAGAGCAATCCGAAATATTTTTATCCGCGTTTGCGTGAAATTACGAGTCATATTCGTGACTTCATGACAAAGGGCAAGGAAAAAGCGAGCTACTTGCAAAATTTACTAGCCCGAAACGTGTATAATCTGGAGAATATCTCGCCGATGTCTAGTGATCTTTCATCCAGCGAACGTGTAGAAGCTTGCTCATTCCACGCATTTAGAAAACACAGTCGTTATCACTGTGCATTACGCAACGTATACAAATTGAAACACTGGTACATCGAACAAAGCTAAATCAACATCAGGAAATGTGACAACGTCTATGTGGCTCAGTGCTTGTCCTCCAAAATTGACGAGGAAGAGAGTGAAAATAGCTATTCCTACAAATCGGGGAGTGAAGAGTCATCGACTGAAGAAGAGGAAACGAAACAAATACTGAGTTGGAGCATTCAGTCGAATCGTCGAGGACTATAATAATCACGGGTAAATATTTAGAAGTACACAGTCAGCTCCGATTTTAATGAAACTAGGCTTATTCGACGCGTTTTTGCACGAGAAACAACTTTATCCTGTGACAAAATCGTCGCTCAGTTCCGCGAAGCGAGATATGAAGCGTTAAAGCAGACCATAATTCAGGTTAGGAAAGCTGTTATATCGACGAACTTTGCCGATATAAACATGCCTCGTAACTAATACAAACTTCCCGAGTAATATGCAAAAAGTTTTAGTCCGTGCTCACTGTTCGTTAAAAAGTTGTTAACAAATGAAGTTAGTGATAAGAGTTTGCACCGAGCATGTATACACACACACACACACACCGAAGGAGGCGTGCGGGGGGCCTTCGACCCCCCACCCGCATCCCCCCTCGAGGGTTAACGGGTGAAACTCGTTTCATATGGAAAGTCACACGTGAGTTTGCGACTTATTACGACTTTCCACATGAAGCGAGTTTCACTCGTTGACCCTCGAGGAGGGTGTGGGGGGGCCGAAGGCTCCTTGCATGCCCTCTTTGGTGTGTATGTGTGTGTATGTATGTGTACACATGCTCGGTGCAAACTCTTATCACTAACTTCATTTGTTAATAACTTTTTAACGAACAGTAAGCACGGACTAAAACTTTTTGCATATTACTCGGGAAGTTTATGTTAGTTACGAGGCATGTTTATGTCGTGTTAAGAAATTGCTATTATTGGCGGGAATAATGCACGAATACACGCACTTCTCTAGGCGACGAATGTATTACTGAGCAACGATATCACAAATTGGTTTAGATATGTCAACATCAAGGTCACGGAACACTCGGTATTAGTTACGTGGCATGTTTATGTCGCCAAAGTTCATCGGTATAACAGCTTTCCTAACCTGAATTATGGTCTGCTTTAACGCTTCATATCTCGCTTCGCGGAACTGAGCGACGATTTTGCCACAGGAGAAAGTTGTTTCTCGTGCAAAAACATGTCGAATGAGCCTAGTCTCATTAAAATTAGAGCTGACTGTGTACTTCTAAATATTTATCCAATCACATTACCAGAGGTAAAACGAAATTATATAAAATGAATTCGCTCGAAATTCAACATGCGCTGCAACATCTCAACGCCAGATAAACAGGTGTCTATCCAGCCGACAGACGACCGAGGGTGTGGACGAAATCGACGGCAATAGTTGCTAATATAGACAATCACGACCGTCCAGGACAGCACTGGGTCGCATTCTACATCAATCAGAATGGAGCAGCCACATACTTTGACAGCTACGGGATGCCGCCCTGGGATTCACGATTTCTCCTGCGTATTAGAAATTCCGCCACTTACCGATGGAATACCTCTCAGTTACAGGGGCTCTTATCGATGACTTGTGGCCATTATTGTTGTGTTTTCTTTACTTTATGTGCCGGGATTATAACCTCAATGCCTTTAAAAATTTGTTTACCAATGATTGCGAAAGAAACGATCAGCTAATTGTACGAATGTATAAGAAAATCTTTTGTCAATGTAAGCGTAAATCACTAGATCATCATATCCCTATGTACCAGGTTCAATCCTGTATTAGAAAAATGTATAAGAATAAAATGTGAATTTATTCTATAAAAATGTTGTATATTCCTTTCTTTCTACCTCTTCTCTTTTCCCTGTAATCTCCAATTCGCGGTAACAAGACCCGTTGTAAACTTTTCGAGTTCGAAAGCGAGGGGACACACACAGGTAAAAATATTGAAGTAGACATAGACCGGAGGTCTTCTATCGTCTTCTAACAATCGCTGAATAGTTTTTATCTTCGAAATTATCCTTATCTGCTCGAACATGTGCACACACGCTCGCGCACCTCAAGAACAGGGGCCTCAGAGATTCGAGTCCGTAGGGACTAGAATTTTCGAAATTTTCCACACGTGACGTCAATACTCTACGTATGTATACAATATAGCTAGTTTCCATCAGAGTATAGCAATAGCGTAGTGTATAAGACGCTTGACTCAAGAGCTAACGGACCCTGGTTCGAATCCGAGGAGAGAACCTACAGAGAACCTACCTTTTTCAGAGAACACGCATTTGGGGATAACCAGACACACACATATACACACACATACGCGCGCGCACACCTCACCTCGTTATACGACTACATCGTAAAGCCAGTTTCTACCAGCGAGCAGCAGTAGTACGGGTGGTAAGACGGGTTTAACTCAAGAGCCAGAGGACTTCGGTTCGAATCCGAGCAAGACCACAGAGTTTTTCCAAAACTTGTGACGTCGATACTTTCACGATACACGATACACGGTATGCGATATAGAGCTAGTTTCCATCAGGGTATAGCGGTAGCGCGGTGGTAAGACGGTTTGACTCGAGAGCCAGTAGTCCCAGTTCGAATCCAGCAGGGCCTACACAGGGTTTTTCCAAAACTTGTAACGTCGATACTTTCCATATGTAGGCTATATAAGCTAGTTTCCATCAGGGTATAGTAGTAACGTAGTAGTAAGACGCGTGACTCAAGAGCCAGAGGTTTCCAGGTTCGAATCCAGCAGAGCCTACAGTTTTTCCAAAACCTGTGACGTCGATACTTTCCGCAAGTAGGCTATATAACTAGTTTCCATTGGGTATAGCAGTAGCGTTAGTTGTAAGACTCGTGACTCAAGAGCCAGAGGTCCTAGGTTCAAATTCAGCAGAGCTCACAGAGCTCCGCAAATGCAATATGCAAATTAAGTAGCTGATCAAGAGTCAATTGCGCCCCAACTCCTTAAAAATGTCGGCCATAATTTGCTTATTTCAAAGTCGATTAGTTTTTGCCTGTGGGGAGGTATGGCCCGTCAAAACATTCCCCCTGCACTTGACCCGCCGGCATCGGTGGGCGTGGTTTAGTAGCGGAATGTTTTGACGGGTCATACCTTTCCACATACTACTGCTGCTGTTAATAAGTACCTCTTTTACTCAAGACGTTGAAATAAATTGAGTAAAAATGTATGTATTAACGTGCTATTACTCGCAGCTGAAAAATGAGTGTTAAAGACGGACAATGTGCTTAAAGATACTCATGCATCCTCAAAAATATACTTTATAGTACGTTTTTTCTACTCGACAATCCATTTTCTCCACTCACTATTCAAGTAATTGTGGCCCTTTCCGACCTAAAAACGGTGTCATATTCGTTGAGTTAAATACACATTCTTACAACTAAAATTTATTTCAGTAAAGAGGATCGTATGGATGATATGGACAATATGGGGGATGAATTGCAAAAAATCGCTATAGAGCAAGAAAACGCAAACGTGAAGAATGAGAATAAAGATCTTAAAGAAAAATTAAACAAAATAGAAGCCCAACTTAAAACATTAATTACAAAAAAAGAGGATGCTTTTGGTAAGTGGATTTAATTTTATATTATTAATATGTACGTATTTATATATATACACTCAAACGCAAAAAACCTGGTACACTAAAAATTTGAGAAAAAATTACAAAATTTCAAATGATCATAACTTGGTAAATAATGAAGATACAAATATGCGCAGAAATGCAAAATGAAGCTTGAAACGTCCTCTTTAAGAATATCTGAATGGCAATTATGCTCGGCCATTTTTTTCAAAATGGCGGATAATAAAGTGAAAGGATGCAAAATTGATAATCAAAGGTCCGTGTTTGCAATAGTGCATGGTGTGCATCAGGTATCGCAGCGTAATGGGACCAAATGCACATGAAAGTATAGAGTGTTATCTTTAAAATGCTACTTTACCGAGCTCGATGTGATCATTTTTCACTGAGTTGTTCCAAATTTTGCTAAAAATGCGGTTTTCTTGTTAAATTTGCATAATTCAGTGAATAAGTATCGCATCAAGCTCTATAACGAAATATTTTAAAGAAAACATTCTATACTTTTAGGTACTTTTCGTCCCATTGAGCTGCGATACTTACTTTGCTCCATGCGCCGTCGCACGTTTGAACCTTTTTTTAGCAACTTTTCATGTTCTCCTTTTTATCAGCCGCCATTTTGAAAAAATATCGTTGCGCACAATTTCGATAGATCTTTCGAAAAGTACGGTTTCAAAGCTTTTAACCCGTTTTTGAAATTTGCTGCTAGGATATTTAGGTGTCGAGATATTCAATTTCGAATTTGCAACAAATGTCGATTCAGCGAGGCTTAAGGGGCTAAGAGGCTCTGC